ATAATAATAAAAAAAAACAGCACAGGATTACTTTGTGACCTTAATTTTAAATTTTCAGCTACGAGGCCTACAAAATTATGTACTTACGTATGGCAGGATCTGACATAATCACCATGACGTATGTGTTACTAGTAAACATGTCTATAAAAGCTGCAAAATTTGAGTTCCGTACTTCCATGCTTTGAAACTGAGCAGCAAGTTTGCTAGGAAATAAATATTAAAAAAAACATTTAATATCAGATTTAACTGAAGATTCTAATGATCTATTTGACATCTAAACTTCACACGTACCTGCAGCTGAGTTTAAATTGTTTAATTATATTTGAAACCTTCTCAAACCGATGCATATCTCTGTGATGTCTACGTTGACAGTGGGATATAACCAAAAACGTCGCTTTTTCAAAGAGTAAAACTTCATCAGCATCAATGATTCCGGCAAACTGATTTAAACTTTGTTCCAGCTCCTTCACATTAGGAATCAACATGTAGACAATTGATGACCACGCCTGAGAAAATAAATGTATTGATGACAAATGACAACATCAGCAGAACACAAGATAAAATTTCAAAGATAGCATATTGCAGTGCTATTCTTACTCTGTATAAAGTTTCATCCCAAATAGAGGTGCGGAAGCAGGTACATTCCAGAGGTTTTGAAAGTCTTTTGAGATCTGACTCACGTTCAAGGAAAATCTGCATAAGTATTAAAAAGACTTGATTAAAGATACCCTGAGGGATTTCAGAAGTTTGTGTTCGGATAACATGAATCCATCTTACCATATCCCTCTGATCTTCTTGCACAAGATCCATTTTGTGAACTAAGCAGAAGACTCTGGCCTCTGGGGAATATTGTAAAATGGCTTCAAGGCAACTCTGATAGTAATGCATATCTTTATCAAGTTCTCTGCTTTCAACATCGAAAACATAGATCAATACTTCTACATTACGGAATATGTTGTCTCTCTGGCTAGCAAAGTAGTTCTCCATGAAGGCTTCTTGTCTGAAAAATAAATTATACAATAGGGCTTAAGAAAACTGAGTTCAGTCATTATTTGTTGAGCTCTACAATAGCCAATAAATGCTTACCCTCCACAGTCCCACAAGTTGAGAACAAGGTTGCCAAGAAATCGAACATGGGAATGTTCAACATCAACTGGAAAACAAAAATTAAATTACTTTTAAAAGGCTTGAAAATTTTGAATTTCTATCATTTAAAATCCAAATTTCATTTCTTACTTGTAGCACCAAGTCTTCGAGTGTCTCGAGCTATATAGTTAGCAAATATAATAGACCTCATACTTGTCTTTCCAGATCCGCTTTTACCCATCAAAAGAACCTGAAAAATAACAAGATTATTGTGTTAAATTTTGAAATGTTGGAAATATGGAGGAAGTTAACTGAAATCACAATAAGTAAAAATGGAGAAGACGACCTATTAGATGTTACTTAACCTCACCTAACCACAAACAAAAATAGTCCAAATATAGCTACCCAGTTCTATTAAGTAGGATAATACAGAAAAATTCATTGCGAAAACTTATATTGAAAACATTGAATGTGGAGAAATCGCTCATAATGCTAAAAATTGCTTTGAATATTGAAAAGTACTTATTAACGAAATCATACCTTTTTCTTCATTTTGCAGTGATGAGTTATTACAATTGTGAGGAAAAAAGTAACAACGACGGTCGCGGGTTCTGGGTGGTTCTATTGTCAATCAACATTAGCGAAGGGTTGGCGTTGTGAACGTTGACAGGAGGTGGGTCCAACAGTTGGTGTGTGACTGTGTTCTGTCTGTGATGATCATTGTTTTCTTTTCTTCTTCGCCCACTCGGGTGTGCGCGTGTTAGTGGGAATTGACTTTAGACGCGGTTTTCCACTAAGCGCGGATCCGTGCGAATCCGAGCGGATTCCGTGAGCTAGTTTGCTTGCAAAATAAAAGTACGACAAAATACTTAAAGCTTTTCAGGAGCCACTCTTTATCATGATTTAACCTAGCAGCCTAACGTTAGACACAAGACACAACTTTTTTTGGATGGTGTTTCAGAAGGCCTTTTATTGAAAGTTTTTAGCTATAAACATTTTCATACTAACATCCAGTCCACTATCAGGTGGCACCAAAATCAAATATTCTCTCTCATATGTTCATCACATTAACAGGTTCATGAAACAAATTTAACTCTTTACGCAATACTTCATCAAATTACTGTTCACACACACTCAGAATTCATTCTTCTCATTACATTAAAAGGGAGAAAAGGACAGGGACCATTTCATCCTTAAGAAAGACAATCTAATTAAGGGAAGATTTTGAAAGGCAACAATTTCATGTGGAAAATGTACATTATCATGTTAATCTTCATCAAATCAAATCATCACAGCTTTATTCTTCAGGGACCATAGTGAAAACAGTAGAGCCAAAAGGATGTAATGCAATTTGATTACCACGATCTATAGCTAAAATTCATTGAATAAACAAATCAGTCCCTATAAAACAAACTTTACAACATTGGTCACACTCACCTGTTTCTACAGTATTTTGTTAACTGTCAAGACTAAGGATCACTACTCATAAAATGGATTGCTGATCAAACAGTCTCCTTTCACATTGTACGAATATGTTATTTAAAGATTGATGGTAATATGTACGAGCAGTAGCAGTTTCTTACAATACACCCTGTTCAGACAACAAAACTTTTAAAAATCCTAGTCCCAGCTCTGAAGTACACTGGAAAGGCAAAGGCTGTGCTCGTATCGCCTTGCAGGGAAATGCGGGTCTCATCCCCAAGAATGTCCAGCGGGCTAGGCAGGTCTGCCGTACACCCGTGTTGTGGGCGTTGCCTATCCTACATCGGAAGGCGTT